TATATTCAGAAATGTTGAACTATTGCTTTAACAAGTAATTCTCAAAGCATGGTTCACTCACTAGCTTATTCTAGAGCTTTCAACAGCATTTCTTTGGTGATCCTCTGGAAATGGAGTTTGCTCGGTTATTATGTCAACTGAACTAAACTCCATCTGCTGCATGTGGGAGACTGTGATTTCATCTATGATGAACACATACAGTACATATATGAGCACATATAGGCTAGTGCACATGTACATTTGTGTGTTGTGTGTACATATAAGAGACAAGTGTGAGTAGAAGCTATGTAAGCAGAGCGGAGGGCTTGTGGAGGATGGATGATCTAGAGGGATGTTCTGTCGCTTGTATCCTTCCCTGTTCCTCCATATCCCTTTCTCCTCCTAATCCTCTCACTCTTTGTCTCAAAATCTCTGTAAAAATCTCCCTCCTGTCTCTCGCTGCCTGTGCTGCACATTCTCACATCAACAGCACCACCAACAGGTGTGAAAATGCCCATCTCAGGCTTAGGCTCCATCGGTCCAAGGCGCTCTCCACATTTCCCCCTGACGGTTAAATGCCACACCACATATTTTCAAGGTCCATGCTTTAAATTTCCTGTTAACTGAGAGCTGTTCCCATGTGAACTGCTGCAGTGGGGGGAAATTATTTATTGTCATTCAACACGCAACACTGCTGAATCAACAGAGTCATGGGACAAAAGAGTGAGGACATTGCACAATGGCACACAGCTGCTCTCCTCATTGCCGGTATATAATTCAACCAACATAATATGAAGGAAATGCTCCGTAAATCAGGTCTTCAACAGGATCTTTTATACTTCGTATGTTCATACTGCCTTTCATTTTCAGTTCTGCATGGAATGCTTTATAATAATAACGGTGAGACGTACTAAAACATCAGCTCTGTGTATTCAGCACACAAGCTGACACAATTAAACTTCCAAATCCATCCACTGGGAGGCAGAGATGAGGCAATCTGCCCTTGTTTTGTGCCCACATGATCTGGAAACCTCTCTCAGGGATTTCAACTCAAAAGGAGCCAACTGCTTCAGGCGAGATGTGTTCTGCGTTCGATAACAGCTTTATGAGCACTATTCTCAGCACAAGAGGCTGTGTGTTTTTTTGTTTCAAACCAAAAACGGAAAACGATGGGAAAAAACGCCATTGTATTTGTTCTATAAATGTCTTCATTTAAAAAAAACATAGATCAACAGTACACATAAAATATTGCCACAGATTGATGCAGTTCTTGATACAAACAAAAAAGGTATACATAGAGTGATGAAACAAATGACAGATTGCTTCTTTTTCTAGTTAAGAGAAAGTGCAAAAATGTTCAATATCAATTCTAAATCTCTCGAATGGTTTCTTTTTTTTTGCTGGATGTATTAATGTAACTTTTAAAATTATTTCTACTCATATTTAGCCAAGTTATGTCCACATTTCAGCAACATTTGGTTTTGGGTTGATCCAGAACAACTGGTTACCTTGAGCATATCTTAGAAAACCCGAACTTGTTCATCAATGGGGTTTTTTCTCGAGGCTAAAGCCATGTTTACCACTTTACAGCCAACTACGACGCATTATAACTTTCAAACAGTGGCATTGAATCCAGCCCAAAGCGGTCTTGCAAAAAATATATTTATTTTTTCATGAGTGGCTGTGATGTATTGCTCGCTTAGACAATCAGATGAGATCTCAGATTTGAGATGCAGCTTGAATATCACCAGTTATTTGTTTGTGAATATGTGACGAATCTGGCGACTTTGGCACACAAATGCTGTTGTTAGGTGAACACAATGGTACAGAAACCGGATGGTTTGAAAACCAGTTGGGACGTAACACCGGCTTGTTGCATGGCACGATAGTGACAACATATGTTAGCAATGACTGCAAGATATACCACGGATTATGTTTACGACGGACACAGAATTGTCAACGTACATTGACCTGCACCCACCATCCAACGGCAGAAATGTTTCAAGTTTTAAACCTGTTGCCTAGCTTGATGTCTGTAAGTTTTACTTCATAGAGTTTGGTTAGATTAAAAGACAGATGACGGACATTTTAAGTATTTTAATGAACCGACTTTGTATTTGTTTTCAGTATCAGTAAGGGTGTCAAACTAGATGAGGAGGTCAGACTACCCCATTGATAATCTGAAATGGAAGGCCTATAATTTGAGTGGTTAATAAAGGTTGTGACCACTAGGGGGCATCATCAGTTAGAAGGCATTTCAGACAAGCTCTTCCTTTAAGTTAAATTTTGTATTGGAAGTAGATGAAGAAGTAGTGTGGTTCTGTGACAGAGATTAATGAGAATAATTAGTACAGTCTATGTGTAACTTGACATATTTCAACAGGTCTTTCATTTTACAGGTCTACAGTGCAACAAATATTTAACCTCTGTTTGACATGACTTCGGTATAGTGGTATAATCGAGGCCTAATACAAACCAAATACAAACCCAGAAAATGAAAGTTCAAACATTGATTTGTAAATATGTAACATGCATACGGCATCACGCTTAATCAGCTCAACATTTTCAACAGTATTTCTAAGCTACAGAATCCCTCTTTTGTGAATTAAAGGAACACTGTGTAACATTAAGGGGGGTTCATTGTTAGAAATGGAATTCAATATCCAACTATGTTTTCATTAGTATAAAATGACCCCAAAATAATAATCATTGTGTTTTTGTTGGCTTAGAAAAGGCCATTTGTATATCTACAGGGGGAGCGGGTCCTCTTCCACAGAGTCCGCCATCTTGCACCGCTATGCTTCTACAACAGCCCAGAACGGACAAACCAAACACTGGCTGTAGCAAGCTAAATTATGTCAGACCGAAGTATTGATAAGCCCCAATGTTACTGTTGCTTTTTATCAGTGATGTTTTATGTTTTGGTGTAATTTATTATCTCACTGCAGCACACACATCCTCTGCTCTATCTGTCAGGTTTGAGCTCCGCAGCTACTAACACATACAGACACAAGCACAAACACAGAGTGAAGACATTCAGCAGTGAAGTGAAGATTAATGGCGTTGATTACAACTACGCTCGTTACCGCAGAGTAAAACACATAAAAATGTAATAAAAAGGTCCTAATATGGTATATCATAAAAATGTCATAAAAACAGCATAGTATAGTATGCTATGAACAAATCATGTTTTATTATGTCATAAAAAAGTCTTTGTATAGTATGTAATAAAAATAAATCTCAATGCCTTAAAACATTATATTAAATATCGTAAAAAGTGATAATATACTATACCATCAAATGGTCTTAAAAAAGACAGTATTGTATGTTATGAAATGTAATTTTAAAGTATGCCTTTAAAAAACTTCATAATTGCCATAGTATGCCATAAAAATACTATACTAACATGTAATTAAAAACTCATAAATTCAAAGTATAGTATGGTATATATATTCATGATTATTTATGTCATAAAAAAGTCAGTTTATGGTGTAATGTAAAACATCTTTGTAACCTTTGCAACAAAAATTACACATATAAATATAAATATATATATATCTACAGTATAGTGTAGTGTGTCATAGAAATGCATTAAAAATCAGGTAATATATCATGCCATGAAATTATAAAAAATGTCACAGTATAATATGCCATTAAAATGTTATCGTATAGTATGTCATAAAAATGTTGTAGTATTATAGTATGCCATAACGAATGTCATAGTATAGTATGCCTTACAAATGCTAATAAAAATAGTATGTCATAGAAATTATCATAAATACATGACAATTATGTGATGTCGTAAAAAATGGAATTAAAATGTCATAGTTTATAAAATGCCTTATAATGTCTTTAGAACAGACACAGTATGGTATATCATTAAAATATACTAAAATAATGGCAAAGTATATCATAAGAATGGCATAACAATGTCATTGTATGTTATAACAATGTCATATAAATGTCTTAGTATAGTATGTGTTAACATGCCCGAGTGGCCATGGAGGCAAATGAGCAGATCAGTAGTCAAGAAGAGGTTTCAGATGAAACTTCATCTATTTTTACATTCTTACACCACACTAAAAGTTCGCCATCACCAACCACTTCCCACCAGTCTCCACCCATCTCCTTACACAAGCAAACTGAGCTCCTTATATACACCTTCTCACTCTGATAAGCCCAAACATACCATCTAGAGGTACGTATATCAACATAATGGGTGTTATTTGTTCCACAATAATGACAGTTAATCAGTCATTAATAAGATGTGAATCGTATCACCTTAACAGTAGTAACAACACAGGAGAGTCAGAAGATATAAAGAGAGCTCAGTCAGTATACACATCTGGTATATATATATATATATATATATATATATATAGAGGCCTAATTAGACAACAAATGAAAGTAGCTGTGTGGTTGAACCAGACTTCACTAAATAAACCAGAGGCTCATAAATAACAACAATTACCAGTCTAAGAAGTTTAGAAGGCAGAAAAGGTTAAAAGGCCTTTTAAACCTCATCACACCTAAATTTAAGTGTCATGTTGCACGTTTGTCATAGAAATGTTGGAGACAAAAGTAGTCCCAAACCAGACACTTTTTAATTTTATTGTTCAAATAAAGAAAACATGTTGACATTGTGATCCACTTTTAAGCTACGTAGCTCACTGTCTTGTTAAGTGTCAGATTGAACCTAACGTCTTTCTATTTGTATCACAGATTGTAAATATAAGTTATTGTATCACGCAATCTGCAGACATTACGAAAAACATCAACTGCGCATGACTGTGGATGATAGTAAACTCATACTGAGCACACAGATGTTGAAAGATACGAGATGAATAGATCTTTATGGAAATAAGGTTTTAGGTAAATTGTACAAATGCTGATCAGCCTTCAATGTTGCAGCTGCAAGTTTTGTTTTCATCACGAGATTCCGCTTGATCACCCTAATTACGTCACGTTTGTAAAAGCCCAAACCTTTCTGAATGAATAGCTTTCTCGCCGGGTGCGGTGGCGCGCGGCTGTAGTCCAAGTTACCGGGAGGCTGAGGCTGGCGCATCGTTTGAGCTCAGGAGCTCTGAGCTGCAGTAGACTATGAAGATCGGGTGTCCGCACTAAGTTCGGTATCGATAAGGATGCAGCGATCCAGGTCGGAGACGGAGCAGGTCAAAGCCCCCGTGACGCTCAGCAGTGGGATCGCGCCTGTGAATAGACGCTGTAGTGCAGCCTGCGTAATACAGTGGGGCCCAGTCTTTATACTGTTCAACAAACAGCTGGGACGTCTTTACAACGTGTTTACATGTTACAGCAGCTTCATCACTGCTTCTTTACATTCTAGTTCCCATGAAAACATTCAGTAACCAGTTGTGTTTGTTTGTCCTACAGCGCCTCCACCTGGAGGAGAGGAGCGGTGAGCATCACTCACAGCAGTCAGTGCAGCGCCACAGATGCAGCAAACTAACGGGGCTTTCGTTATGACATTCAATGAACTTGATGAAGAGGTGAATAGTCACAAGCAAACACTTTACTCTTTGTGTTTCTGTTCAAATAACAAAAATCTGTCCAAAATAATTCTTCAAGGTATAAAAATTGCGATCAAAATCATTTTGAAATGTGTTTTTCTATCTTGTTGTAAGTTTGTTGTTTTCATTGAGTTATTATTATATCATCCTTAAATATGAACAGTAGTTGTGAAACAATACAGACTCATGGTTCAGTAGCACAAGACGTGGTTTACAGTTTGAAGTGACTGAAGGTCAGAGGGATGAAGTAGTTACAGGCCAGGTAACGCTGTCAAGAGAAGTGGATATTATGGGATTAATCCCAGTGAGTAATGACATATGATGAATCCATTTCTGTGATGTATTGCAGAGCTGATTTAGCTGAAATGAAAGTTTGGAAAAAATATCAATATTAGCAGAAAATGGCTATTTATGTGATGATTGTGTTGGCAAATGGGTCACAGTTGTTTGCTGATTTTGAAATTATCAGAAGCAAAGTGTCTGCATTTGTTTGAATTATACGTTGAAGGAAAGTGTCTTTCCATCAAAGGAAAGAGGGCATTATGGGAAATTGCATATTGATAAAAAGAAGCAATGGACCTGAAATATTAAGCCTCAATAATTAGAAGACCTCTTTCATTTCAATCATCTCATTTTCTCAGTTCATCATGTTTTCCTCACATTATTTCATGGATTTCCTAATCTTTACAAGATTCCTGTTGTATTTTCAGTGTCAAACTATGTTTTGTAGTTGCTGTAATCTGGACTTTATCACATCAACAGGATCATAAATCAAGGATCATAATCAGAGGGACGTCTGTGCTGTGTTTTTGTAAGGTGATGTTTTGTCCAAACTCTTGCATGAACATTTGTCTTCATCAGACACAATATTAATAAAATAATATTAACACTAAACAGAACAAGATAAGTTTTTTGGACCGTGAATGCAGCTTGTGGGTAAGAAACATCGAGTGGCCAGAAAGACTTAATGGTGTTTTTGAATTCTACATCTACCAGAAAGAGCTCTTCTTCTTCCCACAATGCTTTGCAGTTAAGGTACCGTCTTCAGTGTGATGCACATCTACTGTGTCTGTGGTGTCTCAGTGTCTTTCCGTGTATTTTCAGCTCATCAGATGTTGTTATGATTGTTAGAAATGATAAAACCTGTAGAAGTGATGAAGTAAAAACAGGAATGTTTTATATCTTTGTGATAGAACATCTTAGAATAATATCTGAGGTGTGAACTGTTTGAAGCGCTGCTTCTCTTCTGAATGTAAATATTTTTGATGGAGGTTTTGAGCTGTATGATATATTCATACCAGACATTTTCTCTGTGTTTTTTTCCAGGCCTCTGGTGGAGATCCACCGGGAGCAGGTGCTTCTTCCTCCTCATCCTCCACGTTCAACACCAACTCCTGCTCTTCTCAAAGTTAAATAAAGTCCATCAAAGTTAAATAATGTCCATCAATCTCTGTATTACATACGACTTTATTATGACATACTATATGACCATTTTAGACTTTTTCCGACTTACTAACCTCTACTAAATCACGACTCTTTTGACATTCTATTCTATGCCTTCTTTTTACTTTTATCAACAAAATATACTATGCCTTTTTTTTTGCTTTTTTGGACATACTATACTGTGACTTCTTTTTCAACATACCATACTATGACTCCTTTTACATTTTTTGACATACGATAAAATGACTCTTATGACAATAGCCAAAGTAAAAGTGTTTGCCATTTCTACCAGTAGATGATAGTATACGTGTGTAAACCATAGATTTAGTCATATTTACTTGTGTCTTTGTTAATTATCTAGGTTATTAATACAGATCTGTTGAATGATGTTTATATAATCTGATATTTGAAGTTCATGGTTAATTTGCAACCTAGTTGTAAATTTGTGTCATTTAAGAACCAAATATACCGACATGAAAGAGTGAGCATGTGCTGATCATGAGGCAATAAATAAAGACAATTGAAAAATAAAGAGACATTTGGTTTATTCTTATTTATTCTTATACGAGTCTAACCAGAAGTCGCCGCCAGAGGGCGCTGCTGTGATTCAAGCCCAGCACACTGGCGGAACACGACGTGGCAAGTAAACGGTTCACTTCCTGTAATTCGTGCTGTATTGACATCCGTGTCTCTCAGCCCTCTCTCACCACTGTCAGAACCACACTCCCTCGGACTTTGTAGTCACCCGGGCCGCTGTCGCTGTGAGGTGAGCAGGCTGTTGTCTACATGAGGAGCGGGCTGTAGGAGCTCAGCAGCCGGACAGGAGGGATCATGGTTGGGCTGCTGCTGGTGTTTCTCGGGGGGTTGATGGAGGTCTGCGGCGGAGTCTCAGCTAACAGAGGAGGGTATCCCACTTTCACGGACGAAATCCCTTTCAAAATCACCTGGCCGGGCGCTGAATTCACGCTGGTATGTTTCCTCCGTTGGTAACACCGTTTTTAGGGGGACACTTTTATTATTAGAGGGCTGTGGAGACGTCACTGTCAACCGTGTAACGTTTGGCTGTGAAGTGAGCGTGCAAATATGTTAACTTACGTCTCCTCACTCTTTCATACGCGTCGTTACTTTTTACATAACGCGTGTTTGTCTGTGGATTCCAGCCTGCTACAGGGGGGCTGTACAAGGAGGACGACTTTGTCATCATGACAACAACAGAGAAGGAGAAGTATAAATGTCTCCTGCCCTCCCTGACATCTGGAGATGAGGTAAGCGGTTTAAGAGGTGAACTTTACTCTTTAAATGTATAAACTAGCCTATATGTCTTCCATTAGCTGAATTAGCTGCAGTGTGTGTCATGTTTTATCTTTGGCCATCATTCATACCTTTAGAAACAGTTCATGCATGACGATGGAATTGAAAATAAAAAGAACAATAACAACTCTCATAAGATCGGACATGTTTGAAACACTCCCCTGTTAGACTACATTATCTCAGCTATTCATTCTGAGGGTGGCAACAAACTTGAAACTGAGATTAAAATACTAATTTGTCAATTAAAAAAAGATATGACTGTCATTAAAAAGGATCTGCATGACATGCAGCAAGATTCCACATCGAACAGATGTTGTCCACTGACACCGCTCCCTTGGCCGCCTTATCTCCTAAACTCCTCATGCCTTTGTTTGTTGACTCAGGATGACGATAAGGGGTACGGTGGGCCCAGTCCGGGCGAACTGCTGGATCCACTATTCAAACGAAGCAGCTGCTCCTACAGGGTGAGACTTCTCAACTTTAACTTTTATTTGAATCTCATTTCCCAACTGCCGTCAACGGAGAGACTGAAACTGTTCACAATTCACTAGCGGAGCATGACGAAAAACTCCACGTCATTTTCTCTGCTTCCTGTCGGTGTTTGGTGAGTTGAATAACTCTATGACTTGCTCTCGGTTTTGGCAACGTTTTCAGATCGAGTCATACTGGACGTATGAAGTGTGCCACGGAAAGCATGTGAGACAGTACCATGAAGAGAAGGAGACTGGCCAGGTCAGTGTTTGTAGAGGGTACAATCATTTCCTGATGACATGAATGAGAAGCCAGCACGTAGTGCGCCATGTACTGAAGTAATCATGTGCGTTTCCACAGAAAATTAGTGTTCAGGAGTACTTCCTGGGGAATCTGGCACAGCAGAGCCCATCAACAGAGACGGGTGAGTTCATTTGTGAATATGATTTAATCATATTTTTTAGGTTATTTAGTGTATTAGTCTTTGCCTTATTGTGCTAAAGCTAAATTATGATTTTTTTCAGATAAAGTTGAAGAGGCAGAAACTGTCAAACCAGCAGCTGAATTTGAAGTAGGTATATTTATTAATGACACTGATAATCAACCATCTTTGCCTGGCTCTCAATACTCACATGTATCTTTTCTGCTTCCTTCACTCTTCCCACTGGTGTCCAGGTGCCCACTAAGAACATAGAAGGTCAGCTGACTCCCTTCTTCTCGCTGGGGATGGGAAACGGGACTCCTTGTGTGCTGAAACAGAACGAGGCTCGCTCAACGTCTGTGCTGTACGTCTGTCATCCAGAGGCCAAGCATGAAATCTTGTCTATTGCCGAGGTCACGACCTGTGAATATGAGGTGGTGGTGTTGACGCCGCTGCTTTGCGCGCACCCAAAATACAGGTAGATCTGTCAAAATGTCCATATTGTGCTCAAAGGAATATACGCCTTGGTAGTAGAAGTACGGTTTCTAAACTTGGCATTAATTCCTTTTGCAGGTTCAAGTCGTCCCCGGTGAACGCCATCTTCTGCCAGGCTCTGGCAGGCTCCCCTCTGCGGCCTCGGCGGCTCACCCAGCTGGATAAGGAGAGAGAGGAGCAGCTTAAACCGCCTTTCAGCGCCACCTCTAGGACCAGAGAGGTGAGACATGAAATGACTAGAGGAGGGGGGGGATGGTGCCAACGACGCCTGGCTCATGTATATCTTTCACGTGTTACAGGAGGACACGTCACCAGTCAGAGAGGAGGCCTTCTCCTCCACTCACAAACCCATCACTGTTGGAGGGCAAACTCAGGTCACTGTCGGCTCCACTCACATCTCTCGTTTGACGGATGATCAGCTGATCAAGGAGTTCCTTAGTGGCTCGTACTGTCTGCACGGGGTGAGGCGTGTTCCATCAGTATCACCTGAGCAGTGTTTGAATATACAGTTCAGTGAGGTATAATCATCTTAATGTGTGTGTGTTCCAGGGGGTCGGGTGGTGGAAATATGAATTCTGTTACGGCAAGCACGTCCATCAGTACCATGAGGTAAATGTTTCTAATTGTGAGTGTGTCTGTGTGGAAGCAAATCTGCTTCTAGTATCAATTCAAGCTGTTACACATTACTGTGGGGCTGCAACTAAACACATATTTCATTAATTATCAGTTTGCAGATTAATCGTTTGGTCTATAAAATGTAAAAAACATGTTTCTGAAAGCGAAATGTAGCAGATTGTTTGGTTGATTTGGTAGATTAGATTGCTCTTGTACAGTGTTGAAAATGCTCCTTGGTGCTTCAGGATAAAGAGCAAGGAAAGAACACCGTGGTGGTCGGGAACTGGAATGCCGTGGAGCACAACGAGTGGGCCAAGAAGAACGTGGCCCGGTCCTACCAGCTCAAAGACGACGGAGTGCAGAAAATCAAGTAGGCCGTTCATATTTTGAAGCCTAACCTGGATGCAAAGTACAATGAGATTGTTGTTGATTCATATCGTATGAATTTCTCTGCTTCATGACAGGTTGGTGTCCCACTTTTATGGACACGGGGATGTGTGCGATCTGACAGGGAAGCCCAGACAGGTCATTGTTAAGCTCAAGTGAGTGAACAGTCATGGGCGGGGGGAGGAATCGGTGTCACTGCCGTGGGTCAACACATGAGTAAGACAATCCGCCCCCCCCTGATGTTTCCCCATTGAGTCACTCATCTCATTTCTCTTCTCTCTCTCTGTCAGATGTAAGGAGTCTGAGTCTCCCCATGCTGTCACCGTCTATATGCTGGAGCCTCAGACTTGTCAGTACATCCTTGGGGTAAGTTCTCTAGTAACCAGTCACTGCTATCAGGTCATTATTCTGGTGCTGTGGTACTAATATCAAACCATACTGGGCGTGTGCAGATAGGTCAGCCTAGATGATTCGAGATGATTGACATCTGTTTGTTTGTTTTTCCCCAGGTTGAGTCTCCGGTCATATGCAGGATTCTTGACACTGCTGATGAACAGGGACTTCTGTCAATCTTCAGCTAAATTAACAAAAGATCACATGATGGCAACAGCACATGAAGGACAAGGAGAGGACGGACGGATGCACTTGAAGAGGGCGGACATTTATCATAAAGCAGAAGCCTGTTTGGTGGAGGAAGAGAGATGCCCATGACACTGCGCTAAAAGCCAAGATGAAGGTTTAAACTGAAGCCTTAAAGGAGCACAGCCTCAGACCATGTCCTGATCTGTGCACTGGGCAACACTACATCCAGAGAGGCTAGCTCAGACTTTGTGATAACACAGTGAATTGGTGCAGACGCCTCACTCCACAAGGCAGTTTATTGCCTGTACTCCATATCTATGCTTCACTTTGTGTTGATTAATTGCAAGCAAAGGAGTATGAATCAGGGGAGTCGTTAACATCAGGGGAATCACATTTTTCATGGTTTTATTTTCTTTAAGGTGTGTGTGTGTGTGTGTGATGTGAAATAGCTGCTTGACTGTGGCACTTTGTACTTGTAGGGGGGGGAAGGAAGCAAGTGTGAAAGTGTTTTGCAGCAGAGAGAATGTGTATTGTGTTCATTTACAGGATGAGTGAGTGTAAGTTATGCGTTAGCGGGAGCTGTGGAATAGCAACACAAGTGAATGGTTGATTAAAATTTCTTTTTAAGTTTGTCGGATGTACGGAATGTCTGTGGGTTTGAGGTGTTTTATGTAGATGCACACTGGAATCCTGATCAACGCTGTATCACGGGGATACAAGCCTTGCAGCAAAGAATACAACTAAAACATGGAATCTCTATTATAGAGTTGCATTACCGAACAGGAACAAATAAATCATCTGACTTGACTGGGAGATATAAGGACATTGTGGTAATAAATGCCTTCTTAATAAGTATGTATGGCTGTCCAGTTAGTTGTCATTGTCTCTACAAAAATATTTTAATTTAGTTTTTCTTTTTATTACATTTTTTTAAACATGGCATCTGAATGAACCGTGATAAGCATGTGTAAATAATAACTACTTAGTTTCCCTCCAGGAAAGAACAAAGTATTTGTATCCTCCATAGAAAGAGCTCTATTGTAAGTTTTCATGGTACAGTAAAGGCCACCAGAGGGCGCTGACGCTCAGCATATATATAAAGAGAATAGCAGGTATGAATATATCAGGAGAAAATAATACAGCGACAAAATGCCAATTCAAACTGTTTTGTTGCTCCGAGTTGTCATCCCTTTATAGTTGTAAGATCTAAGATAAGTATGTTGCATTATTAACATGAGCACAATGACAGGAACCCCAGCAGGTCAATCAACCAGCGTTACCATCATTTCTTTAGCCACTGTCATGGCTGCCAATAATAATACTAGGGCTGCAACTAGCGATTATTTCCATTATTAATTAATCTTTATTCATTGTTTTCTCTCAAAAAATATCAGGAAATAGGGAATAATGTCCAATATATTTTACAAAATCCAAACGTGACGACTTCAAAATGTTTTTGTCTGATCGACAGCGTCGTAGATAATAAGTGTACTATGACATGTGCCAAAGCAGAGCATCAGATGCTCACATTGGAAAATCCGATTATGAAATCAATTATCAAACTTTGCAGAGTAATTTTCTGTCAATCGACTAATTAATTGTTTCGGCCTCCAGTTAAAAAAAAAAAAAAAGCTGAGATCCTCTGTTCTTGCCAAACATTTATTGTGTTGAAAAGTGTACGAGGTTCACGAATACATTTCTCTTAATAAGCAAAAGTTCATCAAAGTAGCAACCACATGCCATCGACAGCCACGTGTGGGCCTGTGTGGATTCACAGCAGCCCGACACTACAGCAGCTTATATCAGCTTGCTCAGCAACTTCAGCCAGAGAGGAAACAGCAGTGATCTAGCAACTGCAGTCTTTGGCTGCAATGAAAACCAATAGAGTATCGGGTTATAATGGCACATGCGTGCGCAACACAGGGGCAGATTAATGTGGAAATGCAGTATCTGTAAAGGAAAAATAAGTGAATTCAATAACAGTAAAGAACTTCTGGATAAGACACTTTCATAACAAATCTATTGCTTGTTTTTTAGTTGCATGGCAAGGCTTATAATACTGGTTCTTTAATTCTTTCAATCAAGAAAACTTAACTTGTATTTCCAATGTAGAAGAGAACAAAAGGTTAATACAGAGTCCAAATACATCAAATGGGCTGTTTTCGTGTTCCTCTTCTGATTCAAAGCCACGGACAGATTGTCCACACCTCTTCTGATCTTCTATTAGACTGAGGGAATGGGAATCTGGTGCACTGAGGTGCTTTCAAAGTCTTGCAGTGCGTCTTGGTGAGTGTGGTAGTGCATGGCTACATAAGACTTGGCGAAGGCAAATGTCTGAGAGCTGACAGGTTGCAGGCTGGTTGGGGAGCTGGGTCCTGCAGAGGGACTGCTGTTGTATATACTGTAGTAGGGCTCAATGCGGGTGTTGATGGGCGTCGAGGTACTCGGGGGGCGAGGTTTGCGCCCACCCGTGGCCCTTGGACTACCAGCACAATCCCTGGAGTGACTGGGCCCGCAAGCCTGGTCAACCAGCCTCCTCTGCGGCTTGGGCGACAGTACATAGGCCGAGTTGGTCTCATGATGGGAGGATTTATTGCGATTGACTTCCAGGCTGCCCTTCCCCATCGCATGCAACCGAGTCTTTTGCTTGCAACAGAGAAAGCCCAGTGCCGCCCACTGAATGCACCATAGTACGCGGCGGCGGAGGCCCGCGCTGTTGCGCGAGTACACAAAGGGATTGATGCCCGACTTGAGGAAAATGAGCACAAAGCCGCACAGTTCAAACTGGTAATGTGCAAAGCTGCTTTCTGGGGACAAAACGTCCTGCGCCAGTGAAACTCCCATCGGCAAGCAGCAAAGCAGCACAGAGAACACGATGACTACGCAGGTGACGACTGCCTTCGAGTCTTTGGCTGTGGCCAAGTTGACTGTGGACACCAGCTGACAGCAGGTGGCTCCTTGGGCAGCCCCTGGAACCAGAGCCTGGCTGGACTTGTTGACATAAGAGTGTGTCTGAACTTTATGCTGTTTGTTGTACGTCTGGTTGCAGTACAGAGACGGGTCTTGAACAGCACACTGCATGCTCTCAAAGCCTGCTGCGATGAGGGGTGGTGGGGGTGGAGGGCATGTGGCGTCTACAGTGATGACCGGACATTTCCTCACCTGTGCATTCTTCCTCAGTGTCTGAGCAATCATCAGATAGGACACCGACACCACAGCCACACAAAAGGCAAAGTCTGCCAGGTAGACATACAACACCACCCTGGCCTGTCCACCTCCAAGGCCAAAGTGGGGTAAGCAGGGTCCATCTCTACGCGGGTACGCTCGCATGGTAAGGAGGGCCGCCATGGTGAAGCTGGACGTCCACAGCAGGGCGGTGAGGGCCAGCGTGCAGGGGAAGGAGGCGGTACGGTTGGGCTGCTGCCCCAAAACCATGCGCAGTCTATGCAAAGCAATGACCGCTACCGTCTCCAGCGACATGATGATGAAGCCCGAGCTGGTCAAGTGGAAGGCGAAGCAGAAACTCTTCGACACGCCATCCCCTCCACCTGCATCCAGGAAGAGCACCAGAGCAAACATGGGAGCGGTCACGCAACAAATGAACAAGTCACAGAAGGACAAGTTGAGGATCATGAAGTCAAAGTTGGTGCGGAACTTGCGAAACACCTGGTCGAAAAAGGACAGGAACACCACGAGGTTGCCATAAGAGCCCAGGCAGAAAATGAAGATGAGGAGGAGAGAGCAAAAGGTCAAGGTAGCAGTGTGGATCACAGCCCAACTCGATGGGGTCTGTGTGCCCAGGGTGCCATTGAAGTTCTGCGGTCTTGGCACTTCCACCAGGTCTGATGGTGTAACAGAGGTGTTCATTGTATTATTAACAATTTATAAGGATCCCACAGTCATCAATGTCAGCATTATTCCTCTGTATGGAACGAGTACATGGTCATCACAGTAGCTGCTGCTTGCGCCATTGCTGCCACCTTGGGGGGAGTGCTACAAAAAAGATACAAAGTCATATATTAGCTATACTGTGCAGTAGATCACATTTGATTCATTCATGGTTAACACATTTAATACACTTATGATTGATGAAAGGGAGCAATTCACAGTTCATTTACCATCGACTATAAACATTTCTTAATAAGCTGTGATACACTAGGGTACATGTTAGACACGAGCTACAGGGGGCTATTAACTATGCACCTCTGCATTTGGCCAATTATACCTTAACCCCCCCTCCTCCTCCCAACACACGTCTGCTCAAATCCAAAGGAAAAATGTGTACATCACTGTATTGCTAATTTATCTAGATTTCAAGCCATTAAATGGTTTTAGATAATCCATAAAATGATACAATATAACCTACCATCTCTCATCGATCGTGGGTCCATCCTCAGCATCATTTGATACTGCCCATCTTGGCTTTTAAAGCAATACGATAGTAGGTGAACGCACCGTGGCTTCGAAAAAAAAAAACCGTATTTCAACGACAGATCATCCAAAAAAGCGGTCAATTGACAAAACAATGACATAAAACACGTTTCCTTACATGTCTGTGTTCATTTTTAACGCGTTTACAGCACAAACAGTTGATCGCGTATTCGTTTTCCTGGCGATATCTCCATTCTTACACCGGAACGACAGCCGCTGGACGTGCACTGAGAAATGAGTATGAAGTCACTGCCTACGTATCTGGGCATAAGCATAACCACTGCATTCAAGTAGCCCCTCTGCAAGAACGCGCCCCACATCCCCCATCTATTATGATAATATAACAGGGAATAATGCTTGTTCTTAGGTTTACTACAGGGTCAGAAGATTAAAAAAAAAAAAGAGACTGTTACGCCACATTCTGACTTCAGATCAGCCTATATCACCGATGCAAACGCCCCCCACACTCCCCCCACTCCCTCCTCCCAATGGCAACATACAGTACTGTTGCGTTTACCATTGGTGGTCCAATAGTATTTTAAATAGTCAAATACAGGGTACGCTTACACATATTTGCATATATTCTTAGATGGGCTTGGCATGACCAAATATACATATAATTTAATTAATATTTTTTTCCCGCTTTTCACTGCCGTCCTTGGGAACAGCGGCTTATACAACGTCGTTGCTAGGCGACACGCACAGTGATGATTCTGTGTGCAGTAATCGTGGCCCCTGAGGGCCAATAAGTCTCTTTACACGTTTCTATTGAAGTATACGTCTCTTTACACGTTTCTATTCATGTATACGTCTCTTTACACGTTTCTATTCATGTATACGTCTCTTTACACGTTTCTATTCATGTATACGTCTCTTTACACGTTTCTATTCAAGTATACGTCTCTTTACACGTTTCTATTCAAGTATACGTCTCTTTACACGTTTCTATTCATGTGGTCCGACTTACTGAAGTATATTTTTGGAAAGATAAAACAACAAATATTCACCATGTTGCAGTGCCATTGTTTACTGTAGATCAGTGTAACATAAGTTAAAGTTGAATTTTTTCAAAAACATCTGTAAAAATAGAAGGGTGAATCATGAGTTGCTCCATTTACTACATACAAATATTGAGACAACTTCAGTTAAGAAAAAACAAATACTTTTTTTTTTTTTTTTAAACAAACAATTTATTGACATCTCATTCAATAAGCAAACAGCACATCTAAAAAAAAAAAAAAAAAAAAAAAAAAAAAACACTGCAGTTTTGGCACTACACTATACATAAGTGAGGTACTAAATGTGTCAATGCTTAGACTGATTTCAAGTCATCAGGGGACAGCAAACCAAAAACTCAGTGGGGGTTTTAGAAAAAGGTAAATGATACCAGGGATCAGAGGCAAGAGGTCACAATCATGGACAGGCGGTGTGGTTATTTTCGAGACACATGACATGGTAATCAAACTGGTTTGCAGGTCTTCACAGCAAACGCATCACACAGCACAGCAGTGGGGAGCTTGCCCTCTCCCTTTCTTTGCAAGAGTAAATGACAACAGGCTCTGTCGCTAAAAGCTCAGCCATCTACTTTATCTCACAAATACCTTCTATGAAAAAAATAATTAAAAAAAAACTTAGCACTTCAAAAAAAAAGTCAAATAAATAAATAAATATGTTTGTGCGTATTTGCTATACCATGATATATACATGCATGATGCATATCATCATATATAGATCAAACAGCTATACAAACATGGTGTGTTGCAGGTTGTAGTCTAATCTGAAGAGACCGTGGCTAAATAGCCAGCTCTCTGTGGTTGTAACACGTCACACGTCACTATTGGGAGATCGCAAAGAGTGTGTCCCACACTGGACGTTGTGTCGGCTCAGAGTTGATACTTCGGATAGAATCCTGAGAAATGTCTGGGACACTGGCAGATGTCTTCAATCATCCCGTAAAACGCACACACACGCATACACCCGTGCACATGCACACAAAGAAACGAAAGAAGAAATAAAATCTGTACAGTAATGTTACAAACTGCAGGTTTCATTCATCCCTGCTATGATTGATCCTTAAATATTAAGTATAGTAGAAATGTAAATGAGCTAAATACATGAATACACAACTTTTCGATCCGTCTGTGAGCCACAACTTTGTGTGTGTGTCACTCTTCTTCCAGGGTGATGCTGCGTCTCTCATCAAGAACAGGAGCCTCCTCCCAAATGCAGGGTGGCATCTGTGAAGTCTGGGGTTGTCCCAAACTGATCAAAAACAAACATGACTGTAAAAAGGTGGCTCAAAGAGAATAAAATCACCCCTTCAGCAGCTTTTGTTCAGTAATATGTATGTTTCAAGTTAACATGCTTTACCTGGTTTTAGGCATAGTAACAGGGGGAGACCAGCAGGTCGGTCAGGACCAGCAGCTGGTCGTCTGTAAAATGTTGCTTATGTTGTTGCCAGTTGTCGTGATGAGTCCGTCGGAAGTTTGACAGCGTTTTCTTCACAGTCATCTAGAGGGCCACAAACACAAACGATGTAATCCAGTAAATAAGTGACATTGCACAGGTTATTCTTTGACAACAAGAGGCTGAAAAAGAATAGTAAAGTAGGTGACTACACATACTTCTATGGGTTGTGTGTCATTCAGGTGAGCACTCAGGTCCATCAACAGCTGGGGCATCCAGATGGGAACATCATATGGGCTGGAGAGAATACAAGCACTCAACCCGAGAACGCCCGCATGACGCCGCACCAGGTCTACGAAAACACAACAGGTCCATTAAGATGAGAACTTCATATTGAGTGCGTCATCACATATTTTAGACAAGTTACTCACCAGCAGACGGAATAGTGTCCACTGTAGAGCCGAGCTCCCGCTTCCTCTTCTTAGGCAGGCAAGTCTTGCAGAGAGCCTCAAAGTGTGTCTGCATGGGGGCGTCCATGGACAGGAAATTGCACTGAAGGAAGCCACTGAATGTAGTGGCGGCCATTACTCTTACCTAGAAGAGGAGATGGGAAGCTGAAGTTCAAAAAGTAGTGTGCTTACATCGTCTATTAATTGGATCCGGGTTGTCCCAGAGTCATCCAATGATGACGGGGCTTGGATCCTCCATGTGTGAATCATACGGTCACAGAGTCTAAAAGTCATCCTGTATTCTGGCCATCATGGCTTAATCTAACTAGCGTAGCACCTCTGTCTGGTATATTTTACTGACACTCTTTTTGCACTGTATGAGACATACCACAGCAACAATGTCATGAGGCAGGGTTTTCCACTAGTGTGTACACCGGCCAGCTGGATGGAAATAGCAGCCAGCTGGGGACTGGGGGTGGATCTACGTGTGTGGAGGGATGCTTCTCTATTGTGTACGTTTAAATAGTCTTTTGCAATTTTGAGGTAAACCTGATGTTTTGTGTGACATAGGATGCTTGACTTCATACATGAAATGTGTCTTGGCACCAGTGTGAGCTCATCAAACTGTGTTAACGTATGCATTGGTCTACTGAAGGTGATCCTGAAGAAATGAGAGCAATGAAACTGTCCGATAGCTCAGGCCTATAAAAACCAAGCTCAGTGTAAGAGGCCAAATAAAAATGGCTACTTCCATCCATCCCCCACTTCTCCTTTGTCTCCACACCATCCCTCTCATCCTCCTTCAATCTGAACATTATCTCCATAGCAACAGATTACTGCAGCCTGTGGTTTCCATAGCAACAGCTAGAGGACCAGTGGGAGGAGAGAGTGCTGAATCACTACAGTGAAGCTGAAAGACACGCTTGCATATACAAGCATGTATTGTATAATATCTATAATCAGTTTGCTCTTCTTCCGATCCTCTTGCAGTGACCGACTACATGTTGGAGTGTTACATTTTTAAAGATTTGAAACGTCAAACAGTTGTAAATGAAAGGTTTGTCGTTATTTTTTTTACCTCCAGCTGTTCATCCTCAAGCAGTCGTACCACCAGAGCCCGGACGTCATTCACTGCTTTCTGTTCACTCATGAAGGTGAAGAGGTTGTAAAAGACCATAATCTGGAGGTATGTGAGCACCGTGTAACGAGCATGCCAGGAGCTGCTGCCCGCAATCTGCAACACACAACAATAAACAACATACCCTGAGAATAACCGAGCACGCCCTGGATCTAGTTTCTTTGGGGACCTTTTGTCATTTTGAAAATGTCGATATGTGCATGCGTGTCACACCAGTGCACAGCTGGGAACGGTTTAGTTTATAATCATTAGTTAATCGCCTTTACATATTATGTCGTTGTTGCCAATTACACATCAGAAAATTGTGAGAAAAATCCTGTCACAGTTACATTCTTTCAGGTTCTCATGTATTCTCCAGCAGGGAGCTGTACACTACTGTACTGACACAATACATTATGTAACAGATGTATTTAAGAATGGATGTCAAACAGGGCTGAATCTAAAACCTCACTCGGCTTCCTTTGAGCCTTTCGTCATTTTGCTTATTAACCTCGTAGGTTATAAGATGTGAGGGTCTGGTTTAAAAAAAAAAAAAAAAAAAAAAAAGCCCAGTCATGTGTGATGCAGGTGAAAAGTGGAAAAACAGCCACAGCTGCCTGATGACTCACCTCCTGCAGAGCACGGAGGACCATGGGGATTTGTTCTGTGTAAAGGAGTCCCTGAGACATCAGAGACAGACAGGTCTTTGCATCCCTCTTCAGTTCATCGTAACTGTCATCATTCTCAACCGGAGCAATCTGGAACAGAGGACAAAGACGGGCAGAGGGTCACTTTAAGTCCCGGGTATGGTGCATAAACCAAGTCTCAAAAGTTAATGGTGACGAGTGCTTTTACCTTGAAGAGCAGGGGAAGCAACAGTAGATGTTCTGGGACAGCAGTGGAGAAGGAGCGACCAGCACTTGCAATAAGCCACTTCAGCACTGCAGACATTTGAAGACAGCGATCTTTATACTTAAAGAATGATCTTCTGCCTTGAATGCAGGCGTTTGTCAAAATAGATCAATGTTCTGCTTAAAAGTAACTCCAGACTGTTTCAAACCGTCCTCCAATAAACCAGCATTTATCGGGACATCGTTGGTAGTAACAATGACGGACTCGTGACCCACCTGTTTTGAGGAGCTTGATGGCTTGTGTTCTCTCATCTTGCTCGCCCCCCTCGTTCTCCTCGACCACGTGGTTCTGGATCTCCTCATCAACCTCGGTGAGAGGCTTCAGCTGCAACAGAATTCGCTCCGTGAACTCCGAGATGCGGGGGGAGGTCGTTGGCCGAGTGTTTGGCAAGTTCACGTCGATCATGAAGATGTACGTGAGCACACTGGAAGGGTCCCAAAGCAGAGAGGATAAGATGAGACACCAACAAATAAACAAAAAGGTTCAACATGACAAATAGTACATTCACCGTTGTAAAAAAGGGACCCCTCACCTGCCGATGCGTTCCC